GGACCGGGCAGAGATTACACATGTAAGTTTCATAACTACTATAAATGTTTATAATATTATATAATTAGTAATTTTCTATCTTCTAAATAAAGGGTCGCTACAAGATCAATTTGGAGGAGTACACTCAGAGCTTGCCACCGAATGAGCAAGGCGAGCGACTGCCCGTTTCAGACGAAGAAGAGGAGAGGATATGGTTGGATACTGTCGGTGGTCCTAAAAAGGGGATAGCATACGGCCTTTCAGATAAATCGTTTCGGCGTTACAGCGCTGGATTGCAAGGTATAGGGACTTCCACCCAAGGCGAGGCGATTGATAGTTCGACTATATCGTCTATGGAACAGAAGATCGCAAAGCTGACAGCAGAGCTTGAAGAGACCAAGGCTACAGAAAAGAAGAGATTTGATACCCTTCAAGGTCAGCCAGAAAGGAGGGACAAACAATTTGATCTCCTTGAAGGTCAGCTGTCCAATCTTCTTGCTAGTGGTGCTTTCCCCATTCCCCGGTCTCCTATTCCTTCCCCACGTGCCGGCGATGAAAGTCCTAGGACAGAAGGTGGAGATGATGCTACAAAAAAACTCATTGAATGTTGTGTATTGTTAAACAAAGTTTTGAACTTGTCAAAATTTTGTTGTTGTTGGTTAGTTTTTTTTTGAATGATGATTATATTGTTATTTTGTTATTAAACATTTTAGTAGTTGTTGTTGTGGTTATTAGTTGTTGGTTATTTGTTGTTGTTAGTTATTTGTTGTTGGTGGTGGTTATTAGTTGTTGTTATTTTGTTGGGTTTTCATGGTTGAATGGCAGCAATGTAAGCTGTCATTATAGGATGTATATTGGTTTAAATTGGCAGGTGGTGTAGCTTAAAAGCAGCCATTTTCTGCCCAGTTTTTACCCAGATTTCCGACCGAATTCGGTCGGAAATTTCAAATAAATTCTCCAGGTTATTGAAATTTTTGACCGAAATCGGTCGGAAATTATGAATTTATATTTTTTTTTAAAAATAAATTAACAATTTATAAATAATTATTAATTAAATAAAATTACTACTTTTAAAAATTTCCGACCGATTTCGGTCAAAAAATTAAAATTAAAAAAAAGATAATAATAATAATAATATTTTCCGACCGATTTCGGTGGGAAATTTGAAAATTAAAAAAAATTATTTAATAACTGTCAGAAATTTAATATTTAATAGTTTCCGACCACTGAAGTTTCCGACCGACTTCGGTTGGAAATTTTCGACCAATAGCGGTCGGTACACGTTTGCGACCATTATTTTTCTGTCCAATTAAAATCGGTCGGAAATTGCGGACAAAAATCACCTGATTTCTAGTAGTGAAATGGTCCTTTCCATAAGCGGTTGACTGAAAATGGTATCAGGATAGTGGAGGATTTCCTAATTGAACTCTACAACAATCCTCAGAGGCTGCAACATGTAAGAAATTTTCTTCACAAAATTTACACTTGCATCTTTAACTTGTGATATTTTGCAGTTAATGAAAGGGCTGTTACTACGTGCACATACATTTCCTGCATCTTGGGATCTGTATATGCTAATTCACTGATTGGATTCGTTCATGTCGGGCCACATAATAGTAAATCAACATGCAAATACATTAAACTCCTTTTCCTGACGACATGTTATTTTTTACTACTCCTATATTTTAGTTGCTAAACCGCCAAAACAGCAGTGTTTTTAAAAGTATATTAATGCAAAGGCTTGAAGCAACTCTATCTCCTGAGCCTGACTGGCAGATATAAAGATTGACTATTTACACCTGCAATTTGTTGTTTCTTCTTTCATTTTCTTTATAAAAAAATGGGAGTTGAGGTGTGATTGGGGCTACAAAACCAGTGATTATGTTTTGCATTTGAAGAAGTTGTGATGAGTTGTTCCAGTTGAATATTTTCAAGTAACCTCTTTAGTCTTTGATTATCCTTGCTCGCTTTTACAAAAAGCTTCCTGCTGGCTGCTGCGAGCACAGCTTTTACAAAAAGCTTCCTGCTGGCTGCTGCGAGCACCTTGGTAACTGTCACAGGCATGTTTTATGTCACACAAAAACAGCACACGCGGCAACCAAGTCTCAACTTGACTTCAGCCTGCTCCAACACTTAGCCAAAATTTCAGTAACTTTGGACTTAGATTAATATAGGCAGCTTTTCAATCGTAGTAAGTTAGGACTGATTTTAGGCAACGAAAAATAGGCAAAGGGACAGAAAATATAGATGAAAAAAAGGCACAATATACAGAAAACTCTTTTCCCAACTTTGTATTTAACTCGAGCATACAAAGAAACTCAACTCTAGGTACAGCCGTGTACAAAAGAAGATCACTCTTGACCCTCACAAGACTACTCTTAGCCTTAGGTTGTTTTCACTCTTGAAAAAACCAAACTTAGGACTCCTTCCTAACTCAATTGTGTACTCTTACACGTTTTTCACTCTTACTACAAAGGGAAAGGGTGTTGTCCATTTGTAATACATGAACCAACCCCATTTCTTACAATAGTTGCCTATTTTTAGGCTTAGACACTTGCCCACTCAGCCCACTACTTTAGCCTAGTGTAGTTTACAACCCCCAACTGCTAGGATCATGTAAATCATGCTAAAGGATAGTGGGATCATGGCCCCAAAAACGTGCTAACACTCCTGACAGCATTTTAGCAAAGATCAATTGCTACCCATGTGCACAACATGTGCCGTAACCGCCTTTGACTTAGTCAATCTGAAGCTTGGTGCCCATTTTCGTGCCTTGGCTTGGACTAGGCGCCAATGCCATTGTATCCAGCTGCATTGTGCCACAATTTGCCTATGCCATTGCCCACGAACTTGGCCCGTTTGCCGCAACTCAATACCATTACAAGTCTGCCCGCACACTGCCTTCCCGTAGCACTTTGGCCTGCCTTTGCCACTTTGTGTCTGACTTGCCTTGGCATCAATGCCTCATGCCTTGATGCCTTTGCCATGATCAAGTGTCTCCCTTAGCCCGCAACTCATTGTCAAGCCCTTGCCAAGCTGCCTCACCTCCGTCAAAGCCTTGGCCATCACTTGCCTGTTTCCCTTTTTGACTTTGGTGCTACTCGTGCACCTGTCTTGCAACACTCTTGCTGCCTCATGACAACACTCTTGTTGTCAAGTCGAGTTCAAATTGGCGGAGGTCTAACTGTAACCTCTTTAATCTTTTCTTTCTACATAACTTGCATTATCACAATCTCTGATCATAACATCCACTCTTACATATCTAAAAACAGAAAAAAGTGACTTTAAAGCAATGAAGTAACGGCTCATTACCAAACTATCATATAAAAAATCATATTTTTAAAATCATTAGTGTCATAATTGTTTAGCGTGGCCCCCTAACAGCTAGGCAATACACTTTAACACTAAATGAACTGTTAATTTTTTTCCATTTCAGTAAAAAGTACTCATACAAAATGAGTTTTTACTTTCCATGCCCGCAGATCCTTGGCAAAAGCATGTCTGGTGATTGGTGGAAAACCACTACAAGGCATGCAAAGACATGCGATCTTGATGGAAGAAAATACTTATATTATCAACTGGATACCGAACAAAGATTTGCAGTGGTGTTTAATGTTGCTGGCCAGGTGACATGGATGGACTCAGGATGTGGTTTAAACCATTACAACATACTTTCTGAATCTCAAAAGGTCTGTATCTACTATTCATTGATTGTCATGTATTTACTCATCTGTTGGCCATTTCTAATTCCTCTTCTAGTTTTGGACTGATAACAGGCGTGTGCCCACAAGTTAGTGGAAACTGCATTTGCAAACTGGGAAAATGTTTTAAAATTTGACAGCGAGATTTCTATTATACATCACTTATCATCGTTCAAATTTTCCCAATCATCCTGTCCCACGGTTGACCATTGCCAGCGTTCAGAGCTTCAAAATACTTCAGTGAGTATTCCTTTACAATTATTTTGCTTGCACTACTAATATCCATTACCCTGCAGTGTATTGCAATGTGATGGAAAAGAACAATATATTTCGTGAGCTGATTTAAGCTTTGACAATCTCTTTTAACTTTGCAAAGAACTATTTGCTTTTGACAATTTTCTTTAACTTGATGTGCACAGAAATCACATTTGACTGCTGAAAAGAACCGGTGGGTAGTAACAGTGGCGGAGGCAGCATCTCCACGAAGGGGGTTCAAAAATATTTTTTTGTATCTAGTAGGAATTGAACCCATGACCTTATGTAGATTTTGAACCCCCTTGACCACTAAACTACACTTTTGGATTGTGTTAAGGGTGTTCAAAACTTAATATATAGAGGTAAAAAATAAATTTTGCCTTATATATACAGTGTAATTTTTCGGCGAAGGGTGTTCGGGTGAACACCCTTGCGCCCCCTAAATCCGCCCCTGGTGCTGAATGCTCTACTTCTTATGTAATTCCTAACCAACATACAGAGTCAGATGGGATGTCACTTGCTTTTGATGAGAAGAAGAAACCCCATGATAATTGTGCTGAAAATACTTTGCTCATTGCTGATCAAGAATTAGAGAAGGAGAAGAAGAAGACACTCAGACAAAAGACTTAGGGTCTTTGGATATTTCGGATTATACGACGTGAATAGTCTCACATGTGGCTTTAATATTGAGTCCCTAACACTGACACGTGTGAGCATCACAGGCCATCAAAATTTGATCAAGAACCATTGAATGTAAATAGAGTTTAAATAGGTAGTCCTTCACTACACCTGATTATTTGCACATGTCAGAGAATAAAGGAATAAAGTTAGCTAGGCATAGGGATTGATAATTGTACAGCTGGCTAGAGTAGTTTAATTTTCTGCACTGTCCTTCACGTTATTTTTACATGTATAAATATAGGATACACTGAAAGTGAAATATACAGAGAAAATTTTCTGCATCATCATCTCTTTCATTCCTTCATGGTATCAGAGCAGATCTCTGCTCTATCCTTGAAATTCATCTTCTAATCTTCTTCCTATTCCTCAACTTCTTCTATCACCATGACTGGAACAGATTCTTCAGTAACACCTTCTCTTTCTGGATCAACAAGTCAAGCAATCAATCATGATGTCAACCACCCCTATTTTCTACACTCTTCAGATGCTCCTGGGATGACTCTTGTGACCTCACCCTTTGATGGAAGAGGATTCCCAGGATGGAGAAGGTCAATACTGATTGCATTGTCAGCCAAAAATAAGTCGGGGTTCATCAATGGGATTTGTGATGAACCTGCTTTGGATTCAAAGGATCATGCACAATGGAGTAGGTGCAATGACATGGTAACCTCATGGCTTTTAAATTCTCTAACTAAGGAGATAGGAGACAGTGTAATCTATTCCAAATCTACAAAAGAACTTTGGAATAGTCTTGAACATAGATTTGGACAATCCAATGGAGCGAAACTCTACCACCTACAAAAGAAAATTGCTAAGACAGTTCAGGGAAATAGCAGAATTGCAGGATACTTCACAACTCTGAAAAGGTTATAGGATAAGTTAGATTCCCTGAACTCACATCTAGGTTGCACATGTACCTGTGTGTGTGAAGGGAAGAAGAAGGTAGCCAAGTTCCTAGAGGATCAGAGAGTCATCCAATTCCTAATAGGTCTGCATGATGTGTATGCACATGCAAGAGGCAATATCCTCATGATGAGTCCACTTCCAAATATGGATCATGCCTATTCCTTCCTGCTGCAAGATGAAAGTCAGAGGGAAATATTTGTTAGCCCACAATATCCAACAGATGGTGCATCTTTTATGGTAGGATCTCAAGGGAAATTCAATCAAAGGAACAATATTCAGAAATCATGGGGAACTCCTCAGAAACAGGGGAACATTCAGAACATGCAACAAAAGTTCAGAAAGAAGGGAAAGTACAATCCTAATGTGAGTTATAGTCATTGTATGAGAACATGGCATGTAAGGGCAGATTGCTACAGACTAATAGGATTTCCTGATGATTTTCAATTCAATAAATCAACAAATCATCAGCCTGCCATAAAAGGAAATGCAGTGGTGGCAGGACAAGAAGGCGAAGAGAAGAACAACACATGCAGTGAAGGAAATATCAGCAGTCAGAACCAGTTTTTCAGTAAGGAGCAAGTGTCAGAATTGGTAAACATAATCAAGCAAGTGCAGATTGGAAGTGCAGCAGCCACAACATCAGAAATCAATGCTAATGGTGTAGCTGGCACCATACTCAAATATACAGGAACTTGTCTTGCTGTTTTCAACACTAAAACATGGATAATTGACTCAGGGGCCTCTGAACATATGTGTTTTGATGCTAGTTCTTTCCTGTCTCTTACCCCTCTTCCTGCACCTTTGCACATTAGTTTACCTAATTCATTCCGGTTATGTGTTACACATATAGGAAGTGTGTTTATTCAGCCTGATATGATTCTTCATAGGGTGCTTCATGTACCTTCTTTCAAGTATAACTTATTATCTGTTCATAAGTTATGTCTTCAATTCAGCTGTTCTTTGAATCTAACCTCTAATGGTTGTCTATTGCAGGTTCCTTTAGTGAGGAGGGGACAAGTTTTTGGTGAAGTTAGAGATGGATTGTACCTGTTTCATCCAACTAGAATAGAGTCTATCTCTCCTCTTAGACAAAATGTAGTTTCCATTCCAAAAGGAAGAAATTCCAGTGTTATTTCTACTTCTGTTTCTTTTCCAGCACCCTTAGTTGCTACTGCTACATCTACTGTAAAGCAATGGCATGTTAGGCTAGGGCATTTGCCCTTTTCAGTAATGAGAAATCTGAATTTCATTAAGTTTCCCTCTAATTTTGATTGTGTGTGTCACATTTGTCCTCAAGCTAGGCAAACCAGACTGCCTTTTCCTTTGAGTCATATTAAGAGTACTGCTATCTTTGATTTAATTCATATTGACACATGGGGGCCATTCAAGACTGTGACTTATAATGGTTATAAGTATTTCTTGACTATTGTGGATGACTATAGTAGGGCAACTTGGACTTTTCTCTTAAGTTCTAAGGGGAATGCTTTTTCAGTTTTGAAATCATTTCTGTGCATGGTAGAAAGACAGTTTAACTTGAAAGTCAAGAAGATCAGATCTGACAATGCCATGGAACTAGGAAAAGGCTCACTAGAGGGAAGTTTTCTTGAATCAGAAGGGATTATACATGAGACCTCTTGTGTTGCAACCCCTCAACAGAATGGAGTAGTTGAGAGGAAGCATAGGCATCTTTTGGAAGTAGCAAGGGCACTTTTATTTCACTCTAAGGTACCTCTCCAATACTGGGGAGAATGTGTGCTGACAGCTACATATCTGATCAACAGAATCCCTTCTAAGGTTCTGAATGGATTAACACCCTATGAGGTACTGCTTGGTACACAACCTAGCTATGATTCACTCAAAAGTTTTGGTTGTTTGTGCTATGTCTCAACTTTGTCTCACAACAGAGGGAAGATTGACCCTAGGGCAAAGGGTTGTGTGTTCCTCGGATATGCTCAGCATCAGAAAGGTTACAAGGTTCTGGATTTTGTCACTAAAAGGGTGTTTGTCTCTAGAGATGTTAGGTTTCATGAAGATCAATTCCCTTTTGCCCACTCACCTCACACATCTGATTTTCCTTTCTTCCCTCAAGCTACACTTCCAACAGATACTGTCACACCTCCTTTTATCCCGCCCGAGGGGGTATGGGATAGGAAAGAAAGGAGTTTTTCCAATTTAAGTGACATTATTTGAAAAGGGATTAATTTATTTTAATTTAAAGAGTCGCCACTTGGAATTGAGTTTTGGTATCCCAAGTCACCATTTATTTTAAAATCCCAATTCAAGGAAATTGACTATGATTAAGTCTCCGAAACATAGAAGACCGAGTAAGGAATTCTGTTAACCCAAGAGAAGGTGTTAGGCACTCCCGAGTTCCATGGTTTTAGCACGGTCGCTTAAAAATTTATACTTGGCTTAAATTATTTAATTACGTGTTTTTAAACCTATGTGCATTTACCCTTTTTACCGCTTTTAATTGCTTGATTGTTTATAATTATGGAATTATCTCGAAACGGGTCACGCGTACATGTACTCGTTTGTTTGGTGTGTCAAAGTCATGTCACGCGTACGTGTATACAACTAATAACACTTTATTATTATTAAGATTGTTTTGCCCAAAGTTGCGCGAACGCATACTTCGGTTTAAATTTTAGAAAAACCACAATTATGTCACGCGAACGTATACATAATCGCGCTAAATTAATTAAAAGAAGAGCATAAGCATTTGATAGCGGACGGCTATAACTCATTTAGAACCATATCGTGTGATGTTTCAATTTTGTTTGGAATTATTAGCGACGTGAATGATAAAAGGACACACAGTGAGCAAAACTTTATACGAAACCCTTCGTATAAACTTAGACCATTGTCATATTCCATTTGTAAATTTGCAACAAACAATGGCAAAAGCATATACGTACTATTTTTTGTTAGGATCACTGTAATTACTTGTATTGATATTAATGATACTCTTTCTTTATTAATTGATGTAGTAATGGAACTAGGTGTTTTTAGGTGTATCAAGGTTCAGGACATATCATATTATGAGTTTCACGTGCAATTCGGAAAAGAAATATTGAGGATATGTATTCGGAGTTTGGTTCCGTTATCATTGTCCACAGTATCCTTATTTCTTGTCTAATAATAGAAGGCCCTCAACTTAAACCCGGGTACCAACTAACCAAAGATAGGAAAATACTTTATGTGAACTAAACACAGTGGTGCAAAATCTATAACAACAAAGAAAACAGGTCCTAAACAATAGTAGCATAACATAAAGAAAATAGCGAAGCAATTTAACATAAAAGCAAACTGGCCAAGTAGTTTACAGATGTGTCTCTCGTTTCTTGAATTATGTAACTGAATAGCTTCAATGATAGTTCCTTATTTGTAAAATGAAGATATGACAATTAGTATCAGTATGCTTCTCTTTCTTTGTACAAAAAAAAATTATTATTACCTAAGGTCCACTTAAGTTTTAATATGCATAAACAGAATATCAAACTTTATATATCAATGAAAATAAGGTGAGAATTATATTATTACTATTATTATTATAATTATTATTATTATTATTATTATTGTTATTATTATTATTATTTATGATTTAGCAAGCAAACCAAACACTCAACATACATTTCGGAAGATTTATGCAAAGAAACAGTTAAAAGCTTTTAATTAGACCCATTAAAGTAACAATTAAAACAGTAAAATAAAGAGAAGAAGACCTTTGTATAGATGGATAAAACTGAAAATTTGCAACTTGATCGGGATAACAAAGCAACAATCGTCATATTGAGACGCCAAAATTGCGAACCGGAATCTCGAACTCTTGAACCGCAGACCTCGACTTCTCAACCTCAAACCGATCGCCAACTAAACTCACTTCTGCTTCACGTGCTTCTTTCCCAATTCAAACTTAGACAAAGAAAATTATATTTGAAGTGAGATCTATAAGCTAGAAAAATGGGAATTTATTTTTATTTTACTTTTATGGATTAATGATGGAGTAGTTGCCGTATCTTCTCTTGTGTATCTGCATGTGTGTGTCCTCATATATATATAGATGTGTGGGTTATTATGTGTAGATGTGTGGAGGGAGTGGGAAATTATTGTGAGGTGTGTGATGTGAGTGGGGGAAGAACGTGAAAGGTGGGGAAACTTAAGGATTGGGTACGTGATTAGTGGGGAAGTTTGTAAATCAAACTTTACCTATTTTTGACATATTTTAACTTCATTATGTTTTGTCTTTTTTTTTAAAGATAAGGTAAATTATAAAACTGATAATATTGATAGAACACTTTTTACACCAAGAAAAATATATATCAGAAAACTACATATTTACATATAATTTAAATAATACTCAAAATATCATAGCTTACTTATAAAAAAACTAATTAAACAAACTAATTTTTTTTTATTTTTCTATTTTCTCTTTACAAATAAAAACAAAATATTCTATAAAATAGAATTTGGGTGTGGTCAAAAATTAGGTGTTCACAGCATGCCCCTCTTTGCTTGAAAACATGAAGAGTTTTCAGGCAAAGAAAATGAACACGGTGACTGATTTTTGACCTCCCCATTATTTAAAAAGAGAAAGAAGATAAAAGAAAAATATGTGACCTAGCTTTGGTTTTAGGCAGCCTACATATCCCGGGTTGTAAGGGAATCAGGTCACGTGTAGTTCAAGTGAAAGAAGAGTGATGGAGTATTCTTAGAGGGAGAGTCGAGTGAAGTTCCGTCGAGGTTCCGATCCGCGGTTCCTACTATTACATCAAAATGAAAAGAAAATTACATACTCTTGAAATCTAAGAGTTACAAAACTCCTATCTAAATGCCATCTGGAGTCTTGTCTTGATTCTTGACTTGCTTCTCCCAGTGACTTTGGACTGAAACTTGATGCTCTCGATGCAACAGACTATGAAATATTCTCGCAGGCTTGTTTCTTGATCAGATGATGGGAAGAAGGA